TCACTCAAAAAAAGAAAACTTAAATAGACTTAAAGCAAGCAAAGTAAATGAATCATTAATGTAAAGCTTTTCCAAAAAGAAAAGCTTAGGCCCAGATGGCTTTAGCAGTGAATTATATCAGATACTTAAAGAGGAAATAAAGTTAATCTTCAGCTGTCTCTTCCAGAAGGTAGAGGAAGGACAGCTCGTTGTATGAAGCCCATATTACCTTGATACTAAAGCCAGACAAAGATACCACACACACACACAAAAAATTATAGGCCCATATCCCTTAGGAAGATACACACAAAAACACTCAGCAAATTTTAGCAAATCAAATCCAGTAACATACAGAAAAGATTATACATCACCACCAAGGGGGACTTATCCCAGGAATGTAAGGTTGGTTTAATAATAACTGAACATCAAGTAATGTAATACACCACAGCAATAGAAGAAAGGACCAGAACCACAGGATCATCTCAGTAGATACAGGAAAAGCATTTGACAAAATCAACACCCATTCATAATAAAAACCTAGAAAAGAAGAGAACTTCCTCACCAGATAAAGAATAAAGAGCATCTATTAAAAACCTACAGCTAACGGCATACTTCATGGTGAAAGACTGAATGCTTTCCCCCTAAAATTGGGAACAAAGCAAGCTCTTGTAGACGAATTAACATTGTACTAGAGGTTATAGCCAGTTAAAGGGGAAAAATGAAAAACATCCAATTTGAAAGGGGAGAAGTTAAACTCCTTATTTGCATTATTCTGTATATATAAAAATCCCAAGGAATCTGCATAGCAACAAAACTACTAGGACTAATAAATGAATTTAGTGTTGTTGCAGGATACAAGGTCAACATATAAAATCAATTGCGTATATACTATTAGTGAGCAGTCCAAAAATGAAATTACAAAAATAATTTTATTCACAATAACTTCAAAAAGAATAAAGTACTCAGAAATAAATCAAAAGAAGTGCAAGACTTAAACAGTGAAAACTGCAGTTTGCTGAGAGAAATTAAAGAAAGTCTGAATAAATGGAGATATTCCATGTTCATGGTTTAGAAGACTCCGTATTTTTAAGATGACAGTATTCTCTGAATTGATCTATAGATTCAGTACAATTATAGTAAAAATTCTAGCAAATTTTTTGCAGTAATTATCATGATAAACTCATTCTAAAATATATATGGAAGGGACCCAGAATAGCCAAAACAGTTTTGAAAAAGAATGAAGGTGGAGGGCTTAGATACCCTGATTTCAGAGCATGGTGTAAAGCTAGGTGGTAAAAAGTGTGCTGCCAGCATGAGGACAGACAGTAGTTAATGGAACAGAGTCGAGAGTCCAGAAACACACCTTTAAACTTACGCTCTGTTGACTTTTGACAGAGGTACCAAAGCAATTCAGTAGCAAAAACATACTCTTCACCAAATGGTTCTGAGACAATTGGTTGTTCATATTCATGAAGATGAATTTAGAGCCTTTCCTGATACCATGCACAAAAACTAGGATGGGATCAAAGGCCTAAATGTAAGAAATAAAATGTTTAGAAAACATAGAAAATCTTTTAAGATCTCGGGTTAGGCCAAGAGTTTGTAGATACAACACCAAACACAATCTATAGAAGAAAAAAAATGATAAATTGGAATTTATCAAAAGCAGAATCTTTTGTACTTTGGGAGACAAGAAAATGAAAAGACACCCACAGACTTGGAGAAAACATTGTAAATCATATATCTGATAAAGGAACTGTGTCTAGAGCATATAAATAACTCTTACAATTAAATAGTAAAAATAGGGGCTCCTGGGTGGCTCAGTCAAGCGTCTGCCTTCGGCTCAGGTCATGATCCCAGGGTCCTGGGATCGAGCCCCACATTGGGCTCCTTGCTCAGCAGGAAGCCTGCTTCTCCCTCTCCCACTCCCCCTGCTTGTGTTCCCTCTCTCGCTGTCTCTGTCAAATAAATAAAAAATCTTAAAAAAAAAAAAAAATGTGATTCACTAGGGTGCCTGGGTGGCTCAGTCAGTTGGGCGTCTTTTTGCCTTCAGCTCAGGTCATGATCCCAGCGTCCTGGGATCCAGTCCCACGTCAGGCTCCCTGCTCAGCAGGGAGTCGTCTTCTCTCTCTCCCTCTGCCTGCCACTCCTCCTGCTTGTGCGCTTGCTTGTACTCTCTCTCAAATAAATAAAACCTTACTTTATTTTTTTTAAAGATTGTATTTATTTATTTGACAGAGAGACAGTGAGAGAGGGAACACAAGCAGGGGGAGTGGGAGAGGGAGAAGCAGGCTCCTCGCTGAGCAGGGAGCCCGATGTGGGGCTCCATCCCAGGACCCTGGGACCATGACCCGAGCCGAAGGCAGACGCTTAACGACTGAGCCACCCAGGCGCCCCAATAAATAAAACCTTTAAAAATAAAATAAAATATGATTCACTAGCTAGGAGAATTTATTTGAAAATTGCTAGTGCTCACATGACATAGTCTATTGAAAAACACCTGGAATGTGGTTGAAGGATGACAGCCAGAAAAAACACCTGGGAGTGGTTTCTGAAGTCATATCCTAACCCAGGTTTACTTTACTGCTGAGGATTACTGGGACTTTCTTTGTATATATAGGGGATTTTAAGAGAGTGACACTGAATGGTCTGTCCGAAAGCAGTGGCAGTGGAGAGTGAAAAAAAAGCCTATTTTAAATAAGTCTTTGACCTCAAGATAAGGGGTCTTATGGAAATGGACAGTTTCAGAACTTTGAAAGGGAAGTAGTGCCCGTAGATAAAATCAGGGTAGATAAGGTGAGAAATTAGGCAAGAAAAGATTGAAAGTACATTGAAATTTCTTAGCAGTACAAGAGAAATAAGAAAAGACGTTTGCCTTTCTAGATAGAACGAGAGGCAGTTCTTACAGGTGTCAAAGTGGAAGAGTGAATCTGCCCAACACAGGACGCAGCACAGCATCAGGGGCTCAGAGATACAGAGTGATCCGGTAGATTTAGAACTGAAACAATAGTGCAGCCGTGACTAATGATACCCACACAGGTGTAGTTGTACTTAGGGACAACAGCAATCAAGAGGGAATTTTATCTGTTTTTGAGAAGGGAGAAAGAGGAGTAAGTGGTCCCTTTTTGATTAGCAGTAAGAAAGATATGTTTATGGGATTCACTTTGTGCACCAGTATTGGGGCAGGAAGAGTGGAGTCAGTACTGAAACAGATGATGTCTGATGTTCTCCCAGCTCCATGATGTGTGAAAGAAACACTTCCTTAGAGTGAAAATGAGAAGAGAGTTGAATTCTAGATGTTCTTAGTATAGACCAAAATGCTCGTATAAAATAGATTTTAGGAAGACAAAACTGAATTTTTTAAGAGAGAGTCTTCTTCAGCTTAGTGATAGATTTTATCACCGAAAAAGTTCTCTCTTACATAAGGTCTTTGTTCCAATGTGTTTATGGGTTTGAAATGTTTATTTTGATTGGTCTAGTTCTTCTGTAATGTACCAAGTCTTTTATACCTCACAGAAGTATTATACTGAAAATTTATAGATGCTTTTTGTCTTTTTGAGTTCTCTGTCCTTAAAAAATACCACTTAGGTTCTGCTTTATATGTATATATGGTTGGTGATACCCTAGAACATAGTGAGTTTCAGTAAATTAAGTTCCAGCTGGTGCAGGCAGCCTGCATTTGTGTTCTCAGGCGTTGACTGAGAAATGACTGGAGGGCCGGTACCATACTGCCTTCTGTAAATAGCGTCAGAACTACGGCTCCCGGGGACAGCTGAATTCTGCTTTATGGCAGGTGCTCTGTCCTCTGCCTGCCTTATGAGTCGTTTCTACTTTGGGCAAAGACACTAAATTCTTTTCGTCACGCTTCCCTTCGTGACTCAACAGGCCTAACCTCTAGACCTGTGCTGGGCACCATGTGGCAGGCAGTAGCCACCTGTGCTTTTTAAGTACATACAACTGGGCCAGTGCAAAGTGAGATGTGCTGTAAGTGTAAACTATACACCATTTTCAAAGACTCAGTATGGAAAAAAATACTTTTTTGAGACTGATTGCATGTTAAAATGATAATCTTGTGGAAATAATTTAACCTATTTCTTTTTAATATTTTCAGTAGGACCACTGGAAAATTTTAAATCACATATTTATTATGTTTCTGTTGGACAACATTGATCTCGAACATTAAATAATTCCAGTGAATGTGTTTTAGTTTTCGGGAGTGATATTTATAATGTCAATTAGTTGTTTGTAAACAAACATTTGTTGTTCTCCTTACAACAAAAAGAAGTTTAGGCATCTTTTTTTTTTTAAGGTCTCTCAAATAACAATTTCCTAGAGCTTCATTTCTTTTCATGCTTTTATGAGTTTCATGATATCCTTGTCTGTTATTGTTTCCATGAATAAGAAATGTTTACAATAGGCTTTTTGAGAGCTGATTTTCATTACAGAATGGCTACTTAAATTTTTCAGTGCAAAGGCATCTAGACATAGGCCCATAGTTATTTTCGTACTATTTCGTACTATTTCTGCAACTATTATTGACATGTTAACTTTAGAAAAATACGTTAACTTTTAGTTTTTCTTGCCTTCGTTGTTTTGTTTTGATTTTTCTATAGAGACTACTAAAATTTCTGATTGAAAATGCTTTTCAGAGGCAAGGATTGTTTTGCTTTATGTTTCTTCCCCAGACCAGTTGTATTCCATAGTTAGAGCTTCTGTGATTCTTTTATTTTTTGAGTAGGAAACTGGAAATAGAAAACTGTGTTCTCTGTTTCTTCCCTGGCTGCTTTATTGCTCTTGCCTCTTAAAGCAGGGTTCATGGTTTGGGTTCTAAAATGTTCATTTCCATAGGATCGCTAAACTAGGTTAATAAAAGGACACATGTAGAGGTTATTGGATGGTAGATGACTTTGTCACCATTGAGTCTAGAGTGTGGCTGAAGAAAGCCACGGTTCCGGTAGAGACACCCCCCTCCCCTCGGCACCACCACCAAAGGTCGCGTTCTCCTCTGGTTCTCCCTTCAGGCACCACAGACAGCACGTCCAGCAACACTGCCACGGTCATTTCCACAGCACCGCCAGCTTCCTCAGCCGTCACCTCCCCCTCGCTGAGTCCCTCCCCGTCTGCCTCAGCCTCCACCTCCGAGGCATCTGGTGCCAGTGAGACCAGCACAACACAGACCACCTCCACTTTGTCCTCTCCTCTTGGGACCAGCCAGGTGATGGTGACAGCGTCAGGCTTGCAGACAGCGGCGGCCGCCGCCCTCCAAGGGGCTGCACAGCTGCCGGCGAACGCCGGTCTCGCTGCCGTGGCCGCCGCTGCGGGACTGAGCCCGGGCCTGATGGCGCCCTCGCAGTTCGCAGCTGGGTAAGGAGCCTCTCGCCCTGGTCACCTGAGCAACAGCTAGGAGCCCTCCCTGGAGCTACTCGTCGGGGACACTTGACCACCCTCTTAAGTGCCCGCCTCCCCCCGAAAAAAAATCTCTTTAAAGCCGTCATCCATTTGGCACAGGGAGCTCTGTGGTAGCCCTGGGGCCTTGGTCATAGCTGGACTTAAGTCTCTTACTACTATTTCCAGATGAAGACGCAGAGCTGATCTGCCTGAGTTGTGGGGCCAGGAAGAAAGCCCAGAATTCTCCATTTAAACTCTCTCAGCTGTCTGCTTTCTAATTCTCAGACACAGACAAGAGATAGAGTATTTAGATCCCCAGTTTTATATTATCAAACATACAAGGATTACTTTGTAAATAACATTCCTTTCGCTGGCATTCTTTTGTTTTGGAAAAAAAGAGAATGACGTAATTCAAAGAAGAGTCAGCATGATTGTGCAGGTTTTAGGTTCTGTGTGGATCATCCCCTTATTTTGCTTTGTACAAGAAAGCAGTAAGAAACCTTATTCTCATAAGGAGAATAACAAATATTTCCTTATACTGCCCCAGCCGTATTTTCCTTTCTCTTGTCCTTTTGTGGGTATATTGTCAAACTCACAGATGTGCCTACATTGTAACAAAGTGACTGCTCTTTTGGACTTGCAGAGGTGCCTTACTCAGTCTCAATCCAGGGACCCTGGGCGGTGCCCTCAGCCCAGCTCTCATGAGCAACAGTACACTGGCAACTATTCAAGGTCAGTAGAATTTTTCCCCTTACTTAGCTCTTTTTTTTTTTTTTTCTTTTTAATGAGGGAAGTTTGCTTTGCTAGAGGTGAAGATGATGGGGAGAGAGAGTTGAATTGATAATGCTAACTGGAGGACCAAGAAAATGTCCTTGTAAAAAAGCTTTCTACAAGCAGTATAGGTGTTCGTTTGTAAGAACAGGAAATATGCTTAGTGTGTAGTATGGTAAAAAAAAAAAACAAAAAAAAACAAGACTCTATGCTGATACTTACCTTCTGTGAATAGACTTGGAGGCAGAATTTCCCCCTGATAAATATACCTAAGTAGACATCCAAGACCCATCTCCAGGTAAACTTGACCAAGAAAAAATTGCCAGTCCCCATCCCCACCCCTAAGAGACACATATATGAGAAGGTCCCGTAATGAGTTAACCTCGAACCACATTATGCAGACTTCAGGAGTACTTGTCATTGTTAGGTTCTGCCCTTTGTATATCCCCATCAGTATAGAACATATATTCTCTTGGATTGTCTCTTTTCCGAGCCCAGATGGGTCTCTTTTGTCTTTAGCATGCTATCCAGTCTAAATCCACTCATTCTATGTAGGGAAGGGTTTGCCTTGTTTGGCTTCTAAGCTTTGTGTCTAAAGATGCTATGTTATGTGATTCAGGAAGACAATTTGAGACATCACTATATTAATCAGAGAACTTTTTTTCTTAAAATTTAAATGGTTTGTACTTATATGAGAGTTCCTGGAGCCAAAAATAAGCTATTAGCCAACCTCAATTAAGATGAGTGTTTCATGAATGATAATCTCTATAGTATACTATAGAGAATATGAGTTACAAATCTAAGACATGACTTAGATTACTCTTTCTAGGGTTCCTGGACCCAATTCCAACATGTCCTCCCCACCCTCAACACCAAGCAATTCTTGCATACCAGCAGGATGTCTGAGAGTTCAAATTAATTCTGATCCTGTCTACCTAGAGATAGCATCAGATTGCACAGGTTAAGGGTTCATTCCTACAAGACTGCTCCTGTTTCCCCTTGAGACACCAGTTGTAAGCCCAGACTGTTATTAGCCTGTGACCTGACCAGTTACAGATTGAAGGTTCCAGCAACCTCTTCCTTAGATTGATCCTGTTAGTTTGCTAGAGTGGCTCACAGAACTCAGGGAAACACTCAATGTTCACCAGTTTATTAAAGGATATGATAAAGGATACAAATCAACAGCCAGATGAAAAGATACATAGGATGTGGTCCCAAACAAAGCGATTTCTGTCCTTGTGGAGTTTGGGGCCTGGCTCAGTGGCAGTTAGAAGCATTCTGGTTCTTCAAGATTGGACGCTCTCCAAAAATGACCCCCAAAAGCTGTCCTCTTGGGGTTTTTACAGAGGCTTCACGATATAGTCGTGATTGACTAAATCATTGGCCCTTGGCTGATTCAAACTCCATCCCCTCTCCCATCCCATGAGGTTGGGGGTGGGACTGAAGGTTCCAACTCTCTGATCTCGTGGTTCGTCCTAGGGGCAACCAGTCCCTGCCCTTGGTGGGGGTCACCTTCCCTGATATTAAGACACCCATTTCACCTTTTTGGCTCTGAAGTGTTTTCAGGAACTGCGGATGTAGACCAGATCTATCTGAGAAATATTAATTTGGTCACTCAGATGACTGAATGACCAAATCCGTGTTTCTTATAAATTATATGACAATTACCTTACTAAGCTATTAGCCAACCTCAATTAAGATGAGTGTTTCATGAATGATAATCTCTACAGTATACTGTAGAGAATATGAGTTATAAATCTAATTGATGGTAGGGCTGTAAACCTTTTGTGATACAGGGATTTCTTTTTGGCGTAAGATTTGTGATAAATCACTTTTTCTCTTGGGTGAGGGTGTACCTCTGGGCTGTAGTGAGGCTACAAAGGCAGATGCCTTCCCAGGGCACAGCTGACATTAGAACGAGTATTGTCTGGGAAGCTCTACAACTATTCCATGATAGGAAGCCTAGAATCTCAGAAAACGTCAAGCTGCACCAAGTCTCGCTGATCTGTGCTCTTTGTATGACCAGATCCGAAGTCAGAGACCTTCCCTTCAGTCCCCCTCGCTTTCTTTATATATTATGTAAGAAATTAACCAAATTTTTAATGCCATTAGAAAACCCCTCAAATCTTCATGTGAAAATGTGGTTATATGGGTGGGAGGAGCTTGGAGGGGTTGTCAGAGAACAGAAGAAGGTACTCAGTGAGAGTGCCTGATTATTTACAAGTTCACCGATAGCTTCTGTGGAGCAGCGACAGACAGCGTCATGGAGAGACTCTCACTCGGGAGAGCAAGTCCCAACCTTAGCGAGGCCCTCGGGCCGCCTGCCGTCTTCCTCCCCCCCTTCCCCTCCCCCC